GTGGCAATGATACTGTCTAGGCACTGCATGAGGAAATATTGATAGCGCGCCAAGGTCACCTCGTAATTTGAAATCCGTAATCTGAGGCCAGAAGCCGCGTATGCTGGCACGCGAGGGAGTCAACTTTTCTTCCCTCCTTATCGCGAGGCGAGGTGTGTCCACGTGCTTCCCAGCCCTGAGAAGATTCCACAACAACCGCGTTCAGCTTGGGGTGGCGGAGGAGGAATGGAATATCCCCCTCCCGAACCCGGTACATGGACTCATATTTACGTGAAGTCGGTTGTGGATGAGCCAGGAGGTCCCATGGTTGAGTCATCGCCTGCCGTAGAGTTGTTATAAACGGTAAGGCGATGGAGGTGGGTTGTTTGCCCCTGACCACATCATAAAAACGGTTGGTGCTCGGTCCTGGTTGTTGGTGGGCTTCGATGTCGAGCAACTTCACTAGCCTGGTCATTAGCTCAGTGAAGGAGATGTACAGTTCTTCGGGTGACCCCGGGCCTTGCGAAGTAACCGCTGCATCTGGCGAAGTTGAGTCAACCTCAGATTCGTCTGATTCCATCCAGTAAGGAGGTGGGGCACTGGAAGAGGAATCTCCTGGTGAGCCTGATCTGCCGCTCTCTCTAGATGGGGCCCTCGGGGCATCTCTGGGTGTAGAATGAAAACGATCCCGAGGAGCTGGCAGCAAGGCTCGTCCTCTGGAAACCGGATAATAGCCCACGGATTGGTACTCTTCCCGTCTTGGAGTGGAGGAGTATCGGGATTGGTACCAGTCATCGGATTTGGCATCCGAAGAATGGCTCCTACGGCTTCTCGGAGGAGAGATGGTGATGTTGGTATCCAGAGGGACGGGCAGCATTGGTGCTGGAGACCAAGCTCTCGGTGGAGAATTTCTTATTTCACCATCCGATATTGAACCACGCCGTGGGTCCTGAAGTAGTTCAGCTGCCGGTCGGCGTGGTGAGCCTGGTGGAGTGACCCTCATAGCCGCCTGGATGGTCGGGACCGAGGGGGTCAATTCCGTGACCGGAGTCGGAATCGAGGAGGTTGCCGAACCCGAGTGCCGATGCTTTGTATGCTTGGGATTCCTCGGTTTCTTAACCCGCTTGCCAGCCTTATCTTTTTTGGCCTTCTTATGCACAGGATGCTTTTCCGGGTCACTGTGCTTCCTCTTTTCCTTTTGTTTCCTTGGTAGGGAAACAGGCTGATCGGCCATACTAGAAGCACCTTCTTCAGAAGGGTGTGAGGGCGGAGCAATGGAGGAAGAGGCCGGGCGCTGCAGCAGATCAGCCGAAGTTGGACAGCCTTCGGGTGGAGCCACAGTTGTGGGAGGCTTAGCCACCAGCCAGTCTGATTGGAGGAGAGCCTGGTCCCACAAGAGTTTGCGGAGGCGGTTCTCCCGATTCTTCCTCGCCTGTTTGGAGAAGGCCAAGCAGTGGCCGCATTTATCTGTCCTGTGCCCTTTCCCCAGGCAAAGGAGGCACAGGTCATGCGGATCCGCAGTGGGAATTTTAGAGCCACACTTCCCACATTTGTGGAACGCCACCTGTTGCGCCATCATAGAAAAAGAAAAGAAGGAGATAGTAAAGCGGGAGAATAATATTTTTTGGGGGGTTTTTTAGGAACGAGAGAGAGAAGTGAGAAAGCAAGAACTAAGTGAAATACTAACAGTAACACGAACAAGGGAATACTAACTTGGTAAGAAAAAGGGAGAAGTTTTTCAACAAGCAAGAGAGGTAAGTAACGATCTAAGCGAGAGCGAAGCGGCACGAGGCACAATGAACGGCGGTCGCAAAGACTGGAAAATGGCGGATACTCCGCTCCTTATATAATACTAGCGGGGAGGGGGAGCGGAGCTTCCCGCCAAAACCGTTAGCTGTTAATCTTCCGGCCAAAGGCACTGCGCAGGCTCAGAACCCATCTGTGTGATGCACAGAGGCCACGACGAAGAAGAGCTCCTCTCCTGCCTGCTGTCTCTGCTCTGTTCCCAGGGAGAATAACAGCGCCAGCTGGGAACCAATTTTGTCAAGAAAATTGTTTTTCTAAATTGCAGTCTTGATAAATTTGAATAACAGCACAGCTTTGTTTAAATAAATTATGGCTGAAGTAAAAGACTTCAATGCATCACTGAGAGAAGTGCAGAAGGGAACATCACTGGGGGGAGGGGTTACAACTCTTCCACCCTTACACACACACCTCACGACCACCTCCTTTTTTTCTGTTCGAGGAAGATCTTGAGACTTGAAAAGAGAATTGAGACTTGACTTGAAATTTTTTTTTGCAATACTTGAGTCTTGCACGTGAAAGTAAAGACTTGAGAATTGACTTGAGACTTGGAGTAAAGGACTTGAACACATCACTGGTATACTGTAATCTTGATTCCATGCATTAAATATTTTGTTGTAAGGTAGAGCTATATATTCTTCACAGCCACATTCAGATCTACAATTTATATTTCATAGAATCATCATAGAATAGTTGGCTTGAAGGGGCCAAGGCGGCCATCGGGTCCAACCCCCTGCTGGCACAGCACACCAGGTACACCATCCTACTCAGGTAACTGCCTAGCATCTTCTTGAATGTCTCTAGTGTATGAGAGCACGCAACCTCTCTTGGCAACTGTTGTATTGCTCTTACAACTAGAAATTTCTTGGGTCTAGCCTACACCTGGTGCATCGTAGTTTAAGTTCATTGTTCCATGTCCTACAATGTGGGATGAATAAGAGGTATTTGTGACAGCTTTTGAGGTACCTGTAGAGTGCTATTGTGTCAGCTTGTAGTTTTCTCAATGCTGAACAGGCTCAGTTCTTTCAGCCTCTAATCATAAGGCTGATTTTCTAGGTCAGAAGTCTAGGTCAGAAGTACACTGATCATCTTTGTTGCCCTCCTCTTAACCCTCCCCAGATTTTCAGCATCCTTTTTAAACCTGGGTGTTCCTCTGTCCATTTGGGTGGTAACCAGTCAAGGAATGAGATTAGGTTGGTTTGACATGACTTATTCTGCTTTCTTATTATTTTTATGCTTATTATACCATTCTCTCACTGCAAACCCATTTCAGTCACACCACAATATGAAATCCTTTCCAAAACTGTGAGTAGTAATGAAAAAATACTGGTTTAACAAAACTTTATTCTTAATGTCAATATTAACTTGAAAGTTCAATACAATATAATGCAATCTTTACTATAGTATCTCTCTACAAAAATGTGAACAAACAGCACGTTTTCCAAAGTTTGTACACAGTACATAAAAAATCTTGCTGCTTATTCAGTACTGTCATGATTGTTGGTTTTATACCTCAAACTTTCAGAAGTCTAAAAATAGATTTCCTTTATTTTTCACACTTCCAAGTAAATACAGTACAGCAAGGCCAGAAAAGTCCACTCTTAGTAGTTCTAACATAAGTTGTAGATGAAAAACTCTGTGAGTAGTTCTAAGTGTTCTCTGCTATTGCTATTGCAAGCAGTTTGTTTGTTTGTTTAATAAAAGGTCTTGAGAAATACACTGATCTGAACACTATGCTACCTTTGCAATGATGTATTAGGCCTTCCATTTATTAGCGTACACACATCTTCCCACCTCATTAATCTTTGTGGTAGTAGATGTAACACTGACAGATATCTCAGTCTCTTTCAGCGAGAGAGGCATTAGAGGAATACCAAATAATGCCAGTCACTTAGGCTTTGCTTGAACCATGCTGGGATTACATGAACACCTGGTTAGGGAATTGGCTAGATTTCTATAAAGTTTGATCAACTAAAAGCACAATTCTACGCATGTTTAAGAGAAATGCCCTACCATTCCTAGCATGCTGGGCTTCAATTTGATCCAAGTCCATGTTCCTAAAGCAGCCTTCCCCAACATGGTATCCTCCAGATGTGTAACACTACAGCTCCTAGCATTCCACAAGTATGGCTGTTCTAAAGTCCAAAAAGTCCCATTTTCCAGCTGCTGCTTTGCCTGGACATGTGAGTGTGAAATTCAATAACAAGCCCTCTTACAAGATTTCCTTTCTTCCTCATTATCACATTTAATCAATAAAACAAATGTAAATCAGTGCAAGCTTAAGAGAATTTATGACTAATATTCTTGCTAAGTTATGCTCATTCATTCCAGTGTTTAAAATATATTTCTGGTCATTGACTGGGGAGATTTGTATCAGCACAAAGGATGATAACCTCTACATTTGCATGATCTTTTCTGACTGAGAGTTTAAACTTGGCCCAGGTTGCCAATTCTCACTCTCACTGGTTCAACTCAATTCAACCAATGATTAAAGTAGTTCTCAGTCCCACTAAAAAATTGAAATTGAAAGCTTTTCTGTAATGGAGATATAATTGTCTACAGTAGACAATACCCAGGAGTGAAGTTTCCATAGGGTACTTTATCTGTTCCGTTGTCAGAGACACGTGCTTGACAGCCTCTTTACAAAGAGTTAAGTAAAGAGCTATTTTCTGAAAATAACATCATGACTCACTGGGCCAGACAATGCCACAGAACAAGTGTGTAGGAAACTTGAATTGTTATTCTTTTGATTTCCAATTTCTCTTTACTTTGGTATCATGGAAAAAATTCAAACAATTTTTAGACCTTTTGAATTAAATGTCTTTTCTTGGGTTCTTTCTACTCAAGTGGCCTGACTACACTTTAAACTACCTCTAAATATGGAATCCCTTTATAATATGTTTCAAAGAACTAACTATAGATACCAGTTTAAATACCAGAGTGTTGGTAGCTGATTATGGTATTTGTAAGTTCTGAAGCCGTCCGAACTCTTCATTTGGCCCTGACTCATCACAACATCGAACTGGAACACTGCCTTTACAGGTGCATGTGGACTTGTACAGAGCAAAAGGAGGAAGCAGAGCCATTTTCAGAGAGATAATGTGCCCATTAAGTAAACAGTCATCTTCATGGTTTGCCAGTAGGACTATGACAGTTATAGGCTATTGCCCAATAATGCCACCAGCACAGACTGATTTCATTTCCACAGCAATTCTAATGTATGTCTTGTAAGATCACCAGAACTCTGCTTATAAACCAGGGTTAAAGTTGATGGATGCTGCAAGAGCTTTACTCAGAGCATTGTGCTTCATGTAGTGAGGGCGTTTTCTGTATCACTATGTAGTTAGGGATCTGTGCTGAGTGTGTAGTTCAAGAATCTCCAGCTAAATTCAAGAATTCATGCCAATATTTTCATTCAGACCTAGAAGAAGGAAAAAAGTTGGGTATGTTATCTGTCTGAAGCAGGGATGTCAAACGTCTTTCTTGAGAGCCAGTGCAGTGTATCAGTTGGAGTGGTGCTTTGGGACACAGGAGGTCTGAGTACTAGTCCTACTTGACCATGGAGCTCATGGGGTGACTTCAGGCCAGTCAGTGACCTTCATCCTAACCTACCTCATAGAGTTGCCATGAGAACAAAATGGAGAGGAAGAGGAGGAGGATCATGTAAGCCACCTTGGATTCCTCACAGCAGGAAAGTTATGATATAAATATGGAAGTAACAACTACAACACAACAATCTGACTTGATTTCAGAGACACTTCAAAGGCCAATTTTAGTGGTTAGAGGAGCCAACAGTAGAAGGGGCGGGGCAAACATTCCCTTAGTATAGAAGCTCATAGTTCCAGTAAGTGCCCTTGGTATAGGTATTTCAGCCTTTTAGAATGGGGAAAACCAGAAAACCACAAAATTGGTGAGCAGGGGGCTGGGGCTGGGGTGGGGGGCAAGGTGCAGGGGATGGGCCATCTGGAGACAATTTGGGGCTGGACTGGTTCGGATTTCCCTAAAGCACACCCACCCCATCAGTCTAAGGAGGGGAAAAGCCAAGATTGCTTACTTTATAAAACAGCATTGAACTGAAACTGCAATTCTAATAGTAATTATGCAGAGGTAAGGTTTCACTGAATCGAAGATTTGTTTCCCAGTACACTTGCTCCATTGGGCTTGAACTGCACATATTATAACTTCCTTGATTATAGATGTGAGCAATTCCTGTTTTGTCTGACTTGCATTTTTATTTCTCACCAAAATGTTGCCGTGGCCCCTCACAAGAACCCCTTGATCGCAGTGTTCAGCATTCTTGCCTGTTTTGTTCCAGCTGTGCATGAGTATTATGTCTTGTGTAATGGCTTGCATATATTCCTTCTGGGATGTTTTGGGAGATTTTTTACAGCACCAGGTTTATGCAAATGAGGCAAATATATCTGTAGATTAATTACAGCTTTTGACAAATACGTAACACACACCCAAAAAAAAAAAAAACCCAAATAAAGCTGCTGAACAGCAAAACAGGATACTGAAAAAAGGAGCCAACTATGGCCCTATTCACACACAACCACCACCCAGCAGTTCAAAAACTGATGGATCGTTATGCACAAGTGAACATGCTGCTTGCGGGGTGCACGCCTCTTACAATTCAGTGCATAACCCATGATCAGCTCTTTGGTAGGCTGTGCCATGTGCCATGCAGACCCACAGTGCTAGATTGCTTAGGAGCCCCATGTTTAATAGTTTACGTAACAGATTACTACATGTTTTAAAAATATGTATTTTAAAAGGTATTTCAGTGTACTGTATGCTATATCTTTTATTTCATCCAGTGTGCTTGTAGGGCTGGGCAGTGGGGGATCTAGAGCAGGGGTAGGCATCTTGGTACCCTCCATAACCCTATAACCCCCATGCTGGCCAGGGCTGATGGAAAATGTAGTCTGAAACAGCTGGAGGACAGTGAGTTGTCTACTTCTGATCTAAGGAGAATAAATGGGGACAAATTGGAAAAGATCTATCTGCAAAGTTTAGAAAAAATGTGAGTTGAAAAACAGCAAATAGGTCTTCTGTGCAAACATGGGCAACTAAAAGGACAAATGCACCATAAACAGAGACAGTTTGATGATTTTATTTGCAAGCCTGTGTGTGCATATGATTCAGTACCTTTCTTTTTACACTTTCCCCTAATAAACATAGCATAGAGGAGAAGAGGGTGGGTAAATGTCAAATTTTGCAAATGTACTGAAGCCAATACTTGGTGAACAAGCAAAATTAGTTATGGCTGAAATTAGTTCCTGGTTCCAAATGTTTTCATTCAGCACAAAGCTGCATGAGCAGCTTGCATAAGGAATATGTATGCCACCAAAAATCATACGCTGACAAAACAGAAGACTGTCTCCTTCCAAATGTTTTGGAATTATATGCAGCCCAATCTTCATTTTTGTCCAAACAGTTTTCATCAGCTGCTCCCAGGCCAATCTCTCTGTGTTAAATGGCTTAAGAGCACGATCCTCTGCATGTTTAGTCAGGAAAAAGTCTATAATGCTGAGCATGCCCCAGACAGCATAGCTTATTTCTCTCTCCAAACTTGCACAGGATTACAGCTTCAGGAATTAATGATGTGCATCTCCAAATCAACTCTGTCATTTGGAGTGACCGAAAGTACAGTAGTTTATTTTTCACATTCTAAGGTAATCATGGTTTATGAACAGGCAAGCAGTGCCCCCTGGAGGCACTCACTAGGGCTTGACTTCATTTCCAGATGTGCACATGTGGATAAGCCTCTTTTTGCCATACTTCAACTAAATGGCTAAAATCCTTAACTAACCCTACAATTCTTAAGAAGGTGAAAGCAGCTTCTGAATACATTTCTAATTGGCAAACTTCCTTTCTTACATCAGAGCTGTAAATGCTCTCACCATTCAACAAAACAGACCAGCTTTCACTGGTCTTGGATTCCCATAAAGTATCACTTCAGCACTGTCTCCTGGGAGACATCAAACTCAGGAGATCAAAGATGCTGTCACAGAACTGAGAACCAGCAGCCGGCTTCAGCTGTGTAGCATCTGAATGGGGCAGTGCACACAAGCGATTAATTATATTTTCAGGAACACAATATGCCGCTGTCAGCCAATACGTCCCTTGTCACTAACCTTTTGCAGCAGCAGAAGAGTGATATTGGTCCCTCATCTTCTAATCTGTACCTTCCAGAGTTTGGTAGATCTTTGCATTGTGCTATGAATGCGTGAAGTTCAGTTTCTGGAAAACCTTCTTGCTGGTAATGCTAAAAAGTGTTGTGATTTAGCATAAATATGCTTCAACTTAAATTACTGTAGACAAATTCATGAAGTACTGTCATTTTAACAACTGTTGATCAGCCTATCTCTTCCCTTATATGCAAAAGAGAGGTTGTAGATAGATCCACAGATCGAAAAGCACATCCAAGGAAGAGCATCAGAGCAGGTTAATGTATATTGAGGACCCACAAGGTATGCAGAAAAAAATCTTTGCCCTTTATTCCCATCATCACTTCCCCAACCTCCAAACACAGCCTGGATTAGAACTGGTCATGCACAGAGTGACTGCATTCACATGACACACTAACCCACCATGGCTATTAAATCCCTCTTTGCAAATCCCTCCCCAGTGCTCCTCCATTTTGCCACTGTTCCTGAGGTTCCACCACATGATGATCCGCAAAATGCTTTTTTCAGAAGTCCTTGAAACTTACAACTGGATGTAAGGTATACATTGGTTCTCTAAAATAATGGTCCATACCTACCTTAACTGTTTCATATGTATCTGTAATAAGGGCAATGAAGAGACTCAGAACCATGTAAATAAACAGGCTAATGAAAGAGTAGAGGTAGATCCGACTGAATAGCCAAACCAAATAGCTTTTCTGCTGCATTTTAGCAAACGTGGCGAACATGTCATCTCCATTGATCAAAGAGAAGAGACACTCAGAAACCATGTTCAAGGAGCGGAACTTGGAGAGAAGAAGCCAAAAACAAGACAAAAATTGATCATTAATTATAGAACATTCTAGAAGTTTACAGTGTATTTGCAAGATAAGCTGCAATAAACATTGCATATTTCATTTGAAGACACTGTCACACTTAATAGAAATTTGAATACTAGTGCATTTGGACAGTAACTTATTCTGGGATTGTTTGCATGTACAGTAACCTGCATATTCATGGACAGGCAAACAAACATTCTAATCAGAGGTAATATTTGATAGTTAATAGTTTAGTCATGGAGAGGACTAAAAGTAAAGTTTATTTCAATGGGATTTAAATTGATCATGACCAACCTAAGTCACACTGAGTTCAATGGTCTACTTTGAATCCAACCAAATATTTGTGCTAAATTGCACAGAATTCAGTTTATAACTAAGGAGATAGAACAGCCTCTACAGGTGTGTCAGCAACACACACATCTCCTGTATGTTTTTATGGGAAGATTTAACATTTGCAGAAAGAACACAGAGAATTTAGACACAAGCCTTAAAACAGATGAATAAATGAACAGCAACTGCAATGTAGATTACGGTACCTTGACATGATAAGGGCCCAGCACAATCCAGCCACAGAAACAATAACCCAGATAAATCATAGCAGCACAACAGCAAAACCGAATGACATTGGGCAATGCTGCACGTAGTGTCAAAATAAGCAGCTGCAAGAAAAAAAGCCCAAACCCCAAGTTGCCAATTAGATTTCATCCACATATTAATTACAACTAGATTGCAACAGTAAAATACAAAGAATACCAACACCCTGGAGGCCCCAGAAAAGCCTTACATTGTACTTTTGAAAGAAGCCCAAGTAGCGAATGACTCCAAGCCAGACGAGCATGGTAGATGTTCCTAAGAGGATACTGCAGACATCATAGCTCGTTAAACTCTGCATGGAATAGAGAAGATAAAAACAGAATTAGACAAATAATTTGCTCCTTTTCTATATGTGCTCCTTCCCAAAGCCAGAGCATTGTCACTGTGGTACAAAGAAAGGTGAATTGTATAGAAATCAGATTATGCTTGTGGCAGCGGTGAAAGTAAAATGGATTTGGGGCAAATCCTGCCACAAAAATGTTTTTGGAAAACCTTGTCAAACTTTAGTTCCAATCAAAGATAATGTTTGATAGATATGTAGCATACACTTCTTGGAAGCTAGTCTAGATAAAATCTCTATTTACTGCAGGGATGAGCCCAAAAGCAGTATTTTCAGGATGTAAATAGTTACTCAGAAATGTCTTTACAGAGGATTAGAAGCTCAGGCCTGGGGCAAATGTTGCTCTTTTGGGAACAGGGGGCATGCAAAAAGCCACAGCCCATTCTGTCTCCTTTTCCTGTATTACTGGGTAGCTAGTATTATTATTATTATTTATATTTCTATACCACCCATAGATGAAGCTGTCTGGGTGGTTCACAACATTGAAGTCCCCCATCCAGATTCCAACCAGGCCTGACGCTGCTTAGTTTCCAAGATGAGGTGTGATCAGGCCCTTCAAGCTACATGGAAGCTACATGTATTCTGTTATTCTGAATAACAGAATAAGCTATTCTGGCTTCCATGCAGTTTTTATTGCAATTTAAAGGGTTGACAGCCCCTCCTAATACTTAGTTAAAGCTCTTAGTAAAGAGCTTTAATCTGAAATATGCTTGCGTTTCTGCTCCCAATTGCTTTTGCCTTACCCCCACCACTAGAATGTGGCCTCCAAGCCTCATCTACAGTAGAATTCAGCTCCAAGGCTGAATGTTCTACAGCCTTGCTGAACAGTCAGTGTGATGCAGTGGTTAACAGCATGGGAATAGGACTCAAAAGATCTGGGTTCTAGTCTCCACTCAGCCATGGAGCCAAGTGGGTGACTTTGGGCCAGTCACAGACTGTCAGTCCAACTTAACTCATGGGGTGGTCGTTGTGGGGATAAGATTGAAAGGAAATAATTATGCAATTTGCCCTGAGTTTGTTGAAAGAAAACAAGGAGGAATATTAAACAAACAAGGACCCTAATCTAAGGGATAAGGGGCTTTTATGTTTCCTGAACCAGCAATTGATAGTGCCAAATAATGTTCCATGAAAGCACTGCCTTTTCTCCTCCTTTTCCCCGCATGACATGAATGTGAGGGGAAATTTGCTGTCATACAAAAGCTGAGCTTCTCCCTGAAAATACGGACTCCACATGGTAGGATATTAAAATGAGAGCATTCAGGGTCTTGTGAGGAATGAGCTTTTAAAATGCTTAACCTAAATTGCCAAATTAAATACTAGTTCAATTAGGAGGAGTTTCAGAGCAAAGGAAGAGGCTGCATGCAAGTACATGTTTTGTTTTCTATCCAGCATACAAGCATCTTACCTTGGCCTGTATTTCCATTTTTAGTGTAGAACCAATTATGGTTAACACATCACTAATTATGATCATAATATACCATCCATTGACAAATTCCATCAGATCAGTGAAAGATACCTCTTTCTTATAATGATTCTGGAAAAAGGACACAAATTCCTGAGGAGGTAGGAGAGAAAAGACAAATTGCCATTAAGACGTTTCAGTGGTACTTTTTAGGAAACAGTAACAAACTTAAACTCACCCTCTGTAGACGAATTCCTTTAATTACAGATCTTGTGCAGAGAATCAGTGATGCTAAACAAGTCAATATGACAAAGGCATCAAAGATCATCATGTAGTGGGTATTCTTTTGAACTGGAAGAGAAAAAATGGCCAACATTTGGCCATTTGATTTACGTTTATATACATTCTGGTAATCTTGATTCCCTCTTAGATTCCACACCCATTCCTGTCCTTAAATATGTAGTTATAGGCTTACTTTTATTTGTGAATTACAGAGCTGTTGAATGGAATAAAATCTTGGCACAATGAAGCTTAGATTCCATGGGACCCAGTGTTGTATAGTGGTTAGTGTTGGACTAGGTCTCAATAAATCTAGATTCTAATCCCCACTCAGCCATAAATTGGACCAATCACAGACTTTCAGCCCAACCTACCTCACACGGTGGCTGTTGTGATAATAAAATGAAGAGGAGAACCTTGTAAGCCACCTTTGGTTCCTTATAAGAGGAATAAAGGTGGGACATAAATGCAGTGTGTTATAGTAATAGTATTAAATAGATCTATAAACGTATTAATCAAGCCAATTCTACTCATTGCATAGGTCCTAAGTTTCCATTTCATGTTTAAATGGTTGACTAGATGACAATTTCTTTCACTCATTACCCTGTAAAATGCTTGTGCTTGCTAGGTGAGGACCAGTATCCTTTTTTTGTGAGAACACCTGTACAATGTGAACACATGGTATATTCATGTATTCATACACTGTTGTCCAAGATGTTACCATCGCTCTTAAAATGCTTACATGCAGAGCTTTTCTGGAGAAAGGCTAATCATTTAAAGAAAGGTAGTGACCTAGATTTTAAGACCAGGCACAAAGTTTCATCTGTCATATTCACAGAGGCCTGAAAGGTCAAAGTGACATGTGTAAAGAGTTGCACATAGACTCATAGAACAGTAGTCAGGAAGGACCAGAAGGCCATTGGGTCCAGTCCCCTGCTATGGCAGTACACTAATTATACCATCCTATTCGGATGACTGTCCAGACGCTTTTTGAACGTCTCCAGCAAGGGAGAACCCACAGCTTCCCCAGGAAATAGATTGCACTGTTGTACTGCTCTGACAGTGAGGAAACCAGCCTAAATCTGGTTTCTTTTAACTTAAGTCCATTAAGTCTGCACTCTGGAAAGAATGGGAAGAGGTCTTTTCCTTCCTCTTTGTGGCAGCCTTTCAGGAGCTTGTGGAGTGCTATCATATCACTCCTCAGTCTTCTCTTCTTGTAGATGAACATGCTTATCCTCTCAATCTTTCTTCATAGGGCTTGGCCACCAGTCCTACATTTCTTTGAGTGCCTTTCTGAGGTCCCAAGTACATTTGACATGACATTAAATGCATCTAACCTGAAAGTCTGTTGTTATTTAAATGCAAACTACATCAGCTAGGGTGGAATGAACTCCTTTCCTGTGATTTTTAAGAAAATCACTCTTGAAGCTGGTATTTGCTTTGAAGGGTGGGGAGGGGGGAGTTCTTCATTGGGACTAGTGGGACATTTTCTCCCAATGCCATGACTACAGCACGGAAGGAAAGGGTTAAAATGCCACCTCCACTCCTGCTCAGATCCTCAACTGGTGCATTTTGCTCTTTCTAATCCGATGCTAAAGATTATTTAACCATATGGGTAGTTACATCCTGTACAAATAGGGAAAAGTGAGAAAGGTGAAATAATTACTTACTTGATCCAGAAACATGCCAGTCTTTGCATTCCTTGATGGCAATATCATTATCTAAGCTTATTTTAATTCTTCCACTATGTGCTTTGTTATCAAACACTATCTGGAAGTGAGAGAGGGAAAGAGGGACAGGGAGAATATTTATATTAAAATGTTACTTTATTTCAGCATTTACATTCTTCACAGACAGCTATAAGGCCTCCTGTAATGTTGACACACCATGAAAGCAGAGTGAATTTGCAAAATATTCTTCTTGCAAGGAATGCAAAGATTAAAATTTAGCTTTAAGCACAGCTTTAAAATAGAGGCGACCTATGTGATGAGTGCTTCATGCCATTAGCTGCATGAAAGTGCTTCCATGTAGATAAGACAGGGTGCCCCTGTGATGCCCACTTTTCCTTTTAAGATGACAAACAGGTATCTAGCCATGCAGAGCAAGGTGCTACAGCAGTCAGAATGCTGCAGAGGAGTTTAGGAGATCCAGGTTCCAGTTCTGATTTGCCATGAAGGTCACTGGGTGACTGTGGGCTAGTCAGAGACTCCCAGCCAGAACCTCCTGGCACTCAATACTGATGCCTGCCCTTGGGACCTGTTTAAACTCTCCCCTCCAACCTTCTGCTGAGTGCTCCAGTCTGCATCTGAGTTTGGAATCCACCATTTTATAGTTTCCCACAATCTCCAGGAGTAAATTACATCATAGGTACTGTAGGAAATTAAAAGAACTGCTCACTGCCCGGCACCGATTGGAATGCTGCCGCCACCAATATAGCTTCTGTGAGGAGAGCTTCTTTACTGTTTCTACTCCTAATCTTATTCTAGCGCCACATCCATCACCACACAAAAAAAAGTTCCACGAGCCTTAATAGTGTTTGAGAAATATTTGCATAGGGGACTAAATTATTGATTTTAAAAGGCAGCCATTTGTCTCTACAGTAGAAATCAGCAACCAGCATCCCCTGAAACAGATTTAGGCTCATGATAAGTTAGCCCATCTACCACCCTTCCTTAAGTTGCCAACAAGACACAGAAACAGTCCATCTTGAGATGACATGTTGAGGTGGTCCTGGGTCCATCAGTACCTCAAAGTAGTTTGTCAGAGAAAGGAAGGGGAAGGGGGAAGGGAAGGGAGGGAAGAGAAGCCTAATTCCTGTACTAGTGGGATTGTTCTAATTCAAGCAGCTACTTACTGTCAGAGTGAAATCATAGCAATCTGGGAGTTCATGATGACGGACAGTCTGAAGATTGATGGCCTTCAGTTTGAATGTGAGCTGCACAGTCACAAGTCTGGAAGACAGTTTAGAATTTTATTTCACTATGACCAACAACATGAACATTTGCAAGCAGCCAATGTTTTAGCTCACCTATGGAAATCCAAGGTGAAATTGAAAGCGCCCCTCCCCAGTGTCTTGTTTTCCAAATGCAACATTGGTTCCACATAAAAACATTCTGTAACAAGAAGAAAGGCAGCTTATATGAGAGGTGTTCAGCATCCCACATGCTAAAGAAGAGTCTAGAAAATCAACAATTTGTCCAGTAGGCTGGATTTCACCCTCAGCAGCCCTAGCACATTTTATTCAGTATTTTATTCAGTATTCAGAGTAAAGCTTTTACTTACACTTGCAAGGAACTGTACAAAGTACCTACAAAGACACTTCCATTATATCAAATTGCAGATACTTTCATTATATTGTGAACATTCATTGATTTATGTCTATCAAATTTATTGATAAACATTTAATCTACTGTTTTAATAAGAAATGGAAACAATAACTGCAGTGGGAATCAGAGAAAATTATCCAATGCCTTTTGTTGTTGTTCAGCTGTTCAGTTGTGTCCAACTATAGGCAATCCCGTGGGACAAATTTTGCCACACTTTCCAATCCTGTGCCACCTCTTTCAGCTGAGCCTCTGACCCGCATCCTCTTTGATGGGGTCTAACCACCTTGCTCTTTGGTGACCTACTTTTCTGTAGCTGCTGAACATTCCAAGCATTATAACTTTTTCTAATGAGCTTGATCTCATATCATGGCCCAAATACATGAGTCTCAGCTTTGTTATCTTGCCAACCAGCGACACATCTGGTTCAATATGCCCTAACACAGTGGTCGGATATCAACGCACATAGGGGCATTGCACATGCTCAGGAGTAGCGGCGCCAGGCGATGACATCACGAGCCGCAACTCCTTAGCCGCAACTCATCCGAGCTTTCGCATGGCTGCTCAGTGCACTGCCAAGGATATATATATTTGCTTAGACTGGCTGTGAGGTGTTTTTTCTAAACTAAAACCTCAGTTTTCAGGTTTTGTTGTAGTGTTGGCACTTTGCGATAAACAAGTGGGTTTTGGGTTGCAGTTTGGGCACTCAGTCTCTAAAAGGTTCGCCATCACTGCCCTAGCACCTGGTTGTTCGTGACTCCCTCTGTCCATGTGCAGGAGCCTCCACTAACACCATAGTTCAAATGAGTCCATTTTCCTCTTGTCTAGCTTTTTCATTGTCTAACTTTCACAACCGTAGGTTGCGATAGGAAAAATGACCACTCGGACCAATCTGCACTTGGTTGCTAAGCTGATGTTCTTGTTTTCCACTCCCGATTCATGCTTGTCATTGCCAAACAACCTAGTGAAATCCGTCACTTTATTTCTGGACTGCATTCACCACTGTGAGTAATCAGTGATCCCAGGAAAGTGAATTCCTCTACACATTCAGTTTCCACATTATCAACTGCTATCTTGATGACTTCATTCTGTGCCTTTGTCAAGATCTTCATCTTTTTGATGTTCAGGAGGCCGAACTTCTCACTCTCTTCTTTGGTTCTTTGGATCAATTGCTTTAGACCTTCCTGGGTTTCTGAGAGGATTTTGTGTCATCAGCATATGCTGATGGTTCTTCCTCTTTGTCCCTACTTTTGATTCTTCAAGATTGACATCTTCCTCATGATTACTTCAGCATACAAGTTGAACAGAAAAGGGAAGAGCATACATCCTTGTTGGACTTTTCTCTCTTGAACCAATCTGTGTCCCATATGGTGTTCTTACAGCTGCTCGCTGGTTTGTATATAGTGACTGCAGCAACCTGACCAGATGTGTTGGTACCCCCAGGTCTTTTAGTGCTTTCCACAACTTGTCATGATTAATGCAGTCAAAGGCTTTCCTGTAGTCAATAAAGGACAGGTAAGTGTTCTTTTGATATTCCTGAGATTTCTTCATAATCCAGCGCAAATTTGCAGTATGGCTGTGAGTGCCCCAGTCTCTTCAGAAGCCTGCTTGGACTTCAGACAGCTCCCTTTCTTCGACAGATGCTAGGCATTGTATAATTTTAAGGAGAATTTTGCTAGCATGAGGCATGAGGACAATTGTGCAGTAGTTAAGTCCTTTGAGTCGCCCTTTTTTTGGAATGGGAATGAAGATTAAGTGCTTACAATTCTCTGGCCATGTGCTGGTTTCTCAGATTTTCTGGCATAAGCCTGCTATGGTTCTGATTGGTACTTGCTTCGGCAACTCTGCAGGGATGTTGTCAATGCCTGGTGCTTTGTTGTTTGGCAGCTGAGTTATTGCCCATGCTAGCTCTTCCTCAAGAAAGGCTGGTTCTATTTCTATCTTGGCTTCATCGTCCGCATTTTACTGCTTTTGGTGTATAGCGCTTTAGTGTATTCTAGCCATCTGTTCTTGATGTTTTGTTGATCAGACAGTTCTTTCCTTTCTTTGTTTTTTATAATTGCTCTGCATGCACTGAAAGCTGTTCAAATTCATTTAACTTGTGCATATGTATTCCTGGTATAACCGTTGTTGCAGTCCTCTTCTACCTGTGTGTGTTTCTGATCTCAGCAAGTCTCATTGTCTTTCCTGGCTTCACTCTGGAAATCCGCATCCAAAATCCTATGGAGCACTTCCCAAACAATGCCTTATACCAAGGCTCCTCAAACTTTTCCAACAGGGGGCCAGTTGAAAGGTGCCCGCAATGGGTGTGAGCCGCCAAGGCGGTGCTGGCGGGGGGGCGGGGGGGGCTGGGGAGCGTGCGGGCGCACAGCAAGGTGGGGGTAGAGGGCACGCGGGGTGATGCAGCCGCTTGCTTGAGCAGAGATCATTTTCTCTGAGTGAGTCCAAAACGATCTCCCCGCGAGCAAGCCGCTGCCGAGCGTGCACATGAGGAGATCCTTTCTCCAAGTGAATCCTAACCACTCTCCATGTGAGCAAGCCATGCACGCACACGCAGTGACTGCAAAACCTCTGCGGCGGGCTGGCTAAGTGGTCATGGCAGGCCGGATCCGGCCCACAGGCCATAGTTTGAGGACCTATGCCTTATACCATAGCCTTAATATTTCCCCATACACAAAAGTCTTCCTCTTAAGTAATTTTTAGAAATCATTACATGTCTGACATCTGCACTAGGGCATTGGTGGAATACTTCAGTATGTACAAATAGCCCAAGACATTGCTCTGCCTGGGAAAAACCACTGAATGGCTCCCCAGTCCCAGTAACTATTGCACAATAAACAATCCAGGCATATTAGGAACATAGCCAGCTGTCCTATACCAAGACAGAGCCTTGGTCCATCTAGACCAGTGCTGTCAACACTGAGTGGCAAGGGCTCTCCAGGGTTTTTTTTCCAGCCCTTTCTGGATATTCCAGGGATGAAAGCTGGGACTTTTTGTATGCAAAGCATGTGTTCTTCCATGGAGCCATGGCCCTTCCTAAGTTATTTTGTTCCAAGAGGCTTAAAACCCCAATAATTTGCTGCCCTTCCATGTAGCCAAATTCTGCTGTCTGAAGCAGCTGCTTCACTCTGCCTTAATGCTGACCTTACCTGTACACTGTCATTTCCCTTCCAAAGCAGATTATCTTGGTTCCCACTGTGATGAAGCAAAGGACTGGCCCTCTCATACAGATGCATGGCCACAGTCCAAAGCATTTCATACCACACAGGCCTAAGTTCCTTGTCTCATAGGAGGAAATCTCCCTGTATACTGGACTCACAGAGAGCAACAGTTGGTACTACATTTTATGACTGGGAAATTGAATTTTTTCCCCCAGTACTGTAAGACTTAGAATCATAGAATAGTACAAGTTGGAAGGGACATGAAGGCCATCAGGTCCAACCCTGTGCTGTTGCAGGACACTGAATTACACCATCCAATTCAGATGGCTGTCCATTTTTTTTAATGTCTCCAGTGTGGGAGAGCCCAACACCTCTCTAGGCCACTGTTGTATTGCTCTAACGGTGAGGAAGCTTTTCCTGCTATCTAGCCTGAATCTGGGATGTCACAGCTTGAATTAATTATTCTGTGTCCTACACTCTGGCATCAGCAAGAAGAGATCTTGACCTTCCTTTTTCTGACAGCCTTTGACATACTTATAAAGATACTTATGCACCTCTCTCTCTCTCTCTCTCTCTCTCTCTCACACACACACACACACACTCTGATTTGAGTAGTTAAGAGTGTCACCCTTTTCAATTTCTGGGTCAATATCAAAAGTGTCGTTTCCAGGGCAGATGTTTCCTCGCTTGTAGAAGTACTGGCATATTGCCATAGGTGTCTCTTCAGCTCCTCTCTTTTCATAGGCATGATTTCCAATAGATACAGTGTGCAGCTGTAAATACTAAGCCAGAAACAACAGCTAGTTAGTGAACGCTGAACATGCCAAACAATTAAGAAGGGTCCAAGGCCCTGCTCTCTGTCCTGTTGATACAAGGTCAGTCAGGCACGTGCAAGAGACAAGATGTTTTCAGCAGTGGTGCCAAAGCTTGGGAACATCCTTCCTCTGGATGTCTGCCAGCCTCTTTCTCTGTTGGTTTATAGGTGTCTTTTAAAAGGCCATCGTTTTTCAACACACTAGGACTGTGTCAACGTAAACCTGCTGGCTTGATGTTGTTACATGCGATTATTTATCTGTGACATTTGTAACTGTTTGTTACTTGTACTTTTATTTATTGTCATGCCTTTGCTTTTTGTTTAATTGCAAACAGTTTTGAATGATTCCCATAAAAGGAGCAGCATCGGCAACAATAATAATCTCCAACTGATACTAAGAACATTGAAATCAATACTAAAAGTTTCTTAAACAGATTTAGGGTTCATCTCAGCTACATTAGAATTTACTGGGCACAGTTACATTTGCATGGACAAAGTCTGTGAGATCAGAGCCTACACTTCAATGGGTATCTCATTTGCTTCCTGTAATTATTTAGTGAAATAATGGAAAATTCATTCAGTCCATTAAGCATTTTTCATGGGAAGTTCCCCTAAACAAACCTAAATGACTGAAAGTTTGCAGTTTCTTTTTACAGAGTGACAGCAAGTGATGCTTGGCCTCAGCAATAAGGTGGGAACCAATCTAGGCCAATTAACTATTTATATATTTATAGATGTATTACATCTCTAATTTGCTCAGCAACTGAAGTTCTCAAGTTCTCTACAGTATCTTGATATAAGTAATCATCTGTGTGTGGAGTTCTGATCTGGATCTCAGTTTGGCACATAAGCATGGCAAGGTCTAGTCGCCACACTACACAGCAATGCTGAGGAACCTGTGATTTTTCTGTGACCTTGTACAGCTGTCTTCCTGGAGACAGGAAAACAAAATGTGACAATGAATGGACATGGTCTGATCGATCTAGTGTTCTTTTGTTCGCACCAATTGTTAACCATATGGGGCAGATGGGTAGCCAATCAAGAACTGAACTAGTTCAAAAGGCACACAAAAATCTATCACAACCCAGTTTCCCAGTGTCGTGGTGAAAAAATGGATTGCATGATACTCCATAGCATCAAACAGGAACTTGTTTTAAGTAGACATCTTCACGTAGTTATATAACTGCTTTTGGGTGCAATCCTATGCAAGTTTAGACAGAAAAAAGGCCTACAGCTCTCAGCATGCCCTAAGTCACTGGTCATGTTAGCTGGGACTAATGGAAGTTGAAATCAATACACCTGGAGGGTACCAGGTTGGGCTAGGCTGGGTTAGAGTGTTGAACTAAAACTGGCAAGATCAAGGATCAACTCTCCACTCAGTCATGAAGCTCAGTGGGTGACGTTGGGTCAATTACTATCTCTTAGCCTAACCCACAAAACAGGATTATTGTGTAGGTAAAATGGAGGGGAGGGGGAATCTATGCATGTCATCTTATGCTCACCAGAGGAAAGGCAGGACACAAATGTGAAACATAATGCAGAAAACAGAATTGTTTGCTCTACTGCTTATTTCTGTTCAGTTACTGTTCTGATCATAACTATTTTGGGGTAGCAACTTGGTGCTTAAAGCTTGACTTAAATTTAGTGGGCAATTTTACCCTTGCATAAGATCATTCCTATTGCTATACAGCACAACAAAAACAGTTACCTGGTTTATTGCAAAGGAGATCTGGTCGTAGACATCCATTTGTGTATAAACTGCATAGGTGTCATCCATTCTGTCTGTATAGCCTTTCAGGAAGAGATGTTTAAAAGCCACTGTGTTTTCTTCCTTAAATTCAACCACCATTTGGTTGCTTAACCCAAACACAACAAGCTGAGACCATCAAAAAAAAAAAAAAGAAGAAGAAGCCACCAAAGTAATTTTTGTTTTAGATTCCAGACAATGTTGGATTTTAGCAGTTTAAAAGTTACATCTTTCTCTTTACTTGCAAAAAGGCAGCACTTCATTATTCAGTCTTTCCCACCCTTCCAGACATTTTGGACTACAACTTCCATTTACTAGGCTGGCTGAGATTATGGGACATACAGTCCAGCACATTTAGAGGGTGTCAGGCTGGGGAAAGGCTCAATTGCTAGAACGCCCAAAAGTGAAGACAGCATAATGGCTAGAAAATTGGCCATCAGGAGCATGTCTCTTCCCCTCCTTTTCTCTCCCCAGTGAACAGGATGGCATACAGTGTATCACCTAAGTGAGTACACCCCTCACATTTTGTAAATATTTTATTATATCTTTTCATGTGACAACCCTGAAGAAATGACACTTTGCTACAATGTAAAGTAGTGAGTATACAGCTTGTATAACAGTGTAAATTTGCTGTCCCCTCAAAATAACTCAACACACAGCCATTAATGTCTAAACCGCTGGCAACAAAAGTGAGTACACCCCTAAGTGAAACTGTCCAAATTGGGCATTATTAGCCATTTTCCCTCCCCGGTGTCATGTGACTCATTAGTGTTACAAGGTCTCAGGTGTGAATGGGGAGCAGTTGTGTTAGATTTGGTGTTATCACTCTCACTCTCTCATACTGGTCACTGGAAGTTC